AAAAATAAAAAAAAAAAAAAAAAAAAAAAAAAAAAAAAAAAAAAAAAAGGGAGTGCGCGTACGAGATTATAGTTATCATTTTTTTTATCAGCATCAAGCGGAAAACGTATGCAGCGCCGTGACATCCATGGTTCTGTATTTAAACGAATTTGTGCTGGTCGGGACAGCCTGGTGCGAAATCTATCAGATTCAGCTGTCAAATTTTCACATACGTCTACTTGTCACTTCTCACACCAGTTGCATATACAGCGTCGCGTTTCCGCGGTAAGAACGTTGAATTTTGCAACCATACATATGTATATTATCGGCTGACAAATGCGATCAATTAATGACACTTTAATGTCGCAGCGTCCGTTCAGATATATTTGCGACAGGTAGCAAAAACGATGTCAGGCTGTGGCAGCTGGAAAAGCAAAAAGAAACACTTCGTATCACCGTAGCGAATTTCGTTTGTTCCAGTTTACAATTTGCATGCGATGATCAAGTGCTGTTTTCTGGTACACATATATTAGTTTTGAAAATAATTTCAAAGATTCTATATAATATATAATTGTTGGAGAATTTATTCACATATTATTTTTCATATTAATTATCTTATATTATAATCTTAATGTATATGATCTCTTTTTTTCAAAAGTCTATCTTTGCATACATTTCAAAATAGTTGCAATTTACTGTACGTATAATAACGCAGCGTGTACGATGCGTATCGCCGTGTACCTATACTATGGCAAAAGAATTCTTACATTTCATGCTTTTTAGCTTGGAACGACGGTACAATAAGAGCATTCGCGTCGCACAACGGACAGTTGCATTTCGCCATTCACAACGCCCATACAAAAGCCGTATCCACGGTCGCGGTCACGAACGATGGTGTGACACTTATTAGCGGTGGTTGCGACGGCCAGGTGATTTATTATTACGCTTTCTCTAAAAAAATGCCATTTTCATTTTAAAAACTAGTCGATTACCGATTTATGCAAACTTCGATAATTTATATAAGACATTTTCCATACATATTTGTGTGTGTAATTGTGATTTATTTCACCTCTATGAGAAAATTAATATGTTTATATTATTTATTGTACGTCCATATAAATTTTGTTTGCATTTTTAAAGCATAATGATGAAACTAACCGCGCTTTATCAAGAGTGTATTATTTGCTCGAGTATATTTTAGCGTACAATGAGAAATTTATTCGATTTTCAGGTGCGAATATGGGAGATAAAAACCGACGTGCAGCGATTGATTAGTATACTGAAGGAACATCGGGGACCGATAACATCTTTGCACATCTCGAAGAATAATGAGGATCTAATTAGTTCAAGTACAGACGGCACATGTGTCGTCTGGGATTTAACGTAAGAATTTTTTCTAAAAGCGTAAGATTAATAAAAATCAGAATATATATAGCCACCATTAATTTTTTCATACATTTTTTCATGCAGAAAAGTTTCTTATGTGTGATCAACAACTTCATCTAAAACAAAATCTAATAAGAAAATAAACGTTTCTTTATCTCTCTCTTTTGCATTATTCTAATTAATTATGATTATAAAATATAAGTTTAATAATAAAATAAATCTAGGTATATTATATCAGGTAAATAGATTTTTAGAAAGGAATAAAAAAATGATTTTCTTCCAAATTAGACGTCACGCTAGGAAACATACTCTCATGGAAAACACGATGTTTATGATGGCGCAATTCACACCAGACAGTATCCAGATTTTGACTTGCGGCACGGATCGAAAGATCTCTTACTGGGAAACTCTGGATGGCTCGTTGGTTCGAGAAATTGAGGGTTCCAACGTTGGAACGTTAAACTGCGTGGACATCAGTCCCGACGGTCGGTATTTCGTCACCGGATCCAACGATTGTATTGTTAAGATCTGGGAGTATGATAGTGCGGATCTCCTTTATGTCGGTATTTCCCACGCGGCGATAATTACCGGGTGTAAATTCAGCGCGGACGGCAAGTATATAGTGACAATTAGCGCCGATGGAGCGATTATAATTTGGAAATATCCATCCGAAATGTTGGAGGATTCAAAGTCTATGGGTGAAACAAAAAGAACAGCTAGCTCTATACATAGCTCACGAAACGAGGAGAAATTATCTCTGCAAAAAGCAAAAGGCGATAAAGAAGTCGCAGCGGATCAAACTGTACGATCTTCCAAAAAATCTACTTCATCATGTACAAGTAAAAATTACATTATATTATTGAATATATATATATATAAGTTGGAACAATACAGATTTTACAGCATTAAGCGCTGTGGAATTTATGTATGCTAATTCAATAATCGTATTTTTCAGGTGGTGATCGAAAGCAGCTATCAGTTGTTTCCGATCATAGTAAAGGATCTAAAAAGGAAGCTCACGAGAAAAAGATACCCATATGTAAATGTACATCATTAAGATCAGCAAGCTCTAAATCAAGTGCAGGCACATCGAACAAATGTCGATGTAAAGACACAAAGACTGATGAATCATCTAGTAAAGTAAAGACGATGGAACAATTAAAAGAATCTTCAGATGTGCACAGCAGAAAATTCATTAAATCAAATAATGCATGAAACGATAAACATAAAACTAATTAATTTATCAGAGATTTTAATATGTCATTATTGAGAAAATAAATTTAATAACATAAAAACTAGGTTCTTGATCATATAATTATATCACAAATACAGAAGGAGAGAGAGTTATATCACAATAAGCTGTATGTTAAATTACATATGTATATACATATATTTGTATATTATCCTTTTAATGGTAAAAAATATATAATACGTTCGGATTATGTAACGCCACTCAAACGTGTTAAAGATTTATCGATGAAATCAACAATTGATGCGCGATTTAGATTTTGTCTATGCATTTATCGACAATAATTTTTTAATAGCATCTAAAGACGAAACGCAGCATTACGAGCATCTGAAGACTTAAAGGCTTAAATGAATACGGCGTTGTAATTAACCTGGCAAAGTGCATTTTTGGCGAAGTGCATTTTTAGCAAGATTACATTCTCGCTACTCGGTTATACTGTAAACGCATATGAGATTAAACTCTTATTGTTAGCCGAGCGCGTCGAAGCTATCGTGAAATTTCCAAAGCCTGTAATTGTAAAACAACTTTGAAGGTTTTTAGGGTAGATTTATATTTTTTTGATAAATTTTTATCAATGATTTATACTTGGAGCCGCTAAAATTCTCTACAGCCATTGAACGAGTTGTTCAAAGGTTCTAAAAAGGACAATGCGCCTATAACGTGACGGGATAAAACATTAAATTCATTGAATCCGAGGGGGCTCTTGCAAATGCTACGATATTATCTTAACCGGTACCGGACGTGTCATCATCGTAGATGCATCCGATTACGCGATCGGAGCAGCGGTGCAACAATTCGTAGATAATGCATAACAATTTTTAGAATTCTTCACAAAATCTTTATCTCCTTCTCATCGTCAGCAAAAATACAGCGCGTATGACCGCGAACTATTGGCAATATATAGCATAGTTAAACGCTTCAGAAACGCCGTGGAAGGTTGAAATTTTAGCATTTCTTCGAAACATAAACCGTTAATATTCGCTTTTAATCAGAGCCTCGATAAATGTTCGCTACCACAATTGCGTTATCTCTATTATATATCTCTGTTATCTCTAATTATATATCTCTATTATATTATAATCTCAATTTACAAGGGATATTCGACATATCAAAGGCCTCGATAATGATGTAACCGATGCATTATCTCGTCTTGAAAGAATCTCGAAAACTGTCGACCACCAAAACAGCGCGTATGACCGCGAACTATTGGCAATATATAGCATAGTTAAACGCTTCAGAAACGCCGTGGAAGGTTGAAATTTTAGCATTTCTTCGAAACATAAACCGTTAATATTCGCTTTTAATCAGAGCCTCGATAAATGTTCGCTACCACAATTGCGTTATCTCTATTATATATCTCTGTTATCTCTAATTATATTATAATCTCAATTTACAAGGGATATTCGACATATCAAAGGCCTCGATAATGATGTAACCGATGCATTATCTCTCGTCTTGAAGGAATCTCGAAAACTGTCGACCACCAAACTCTCGGATCTGCGCAAAAAAACGACAACGAGTTACGCGAAATTCTCGGATCCAAAACGAGCGACGTTTTCGTTTTAAGACCATATGTGCCGGAACCCCTGCGGTGTAATATTTTCAATTCTTTGCATGGACTTTCACATACAGGTATGCACAGGAACTAATAACAAAACGTTTTGTTTGGCCATCGATCAACAAAGACAGAAATTGGACGCGACAATGCATTGCATATATGCATCAGGTTCGACTTTCTCTATTTTTTATTGTACGTTTTCTTTTTGAAACAATGGTCGAGACGATCGGATACACTCGTTCAAGTTTCTATTAGGGAAAAAAATAAAAGTGAAAGTTCTTTCATTAATTACAGACAACTTACGGACATCACAGCTGATAAAAATGCTAATAGAAATGGAAAAGAAGTATTACGAATAAAATTTTATACTCTATAAGCGATATAAGAAAAGCCAAAATCGATGCAGAATCAGTGGAAGATTTTGTTAATTAAAAGATTATCTAAATAAAACCAATTGTGACAAAAATCAAATTAGATTCTTTAAAGATTGGTTGTATTAGCCTCCACAGAAATTAACTTAGCGACTCAAAACAATACGCAAATTGTTATCGGACTCTATTAAAACCACCGATACAAGCAAAAGCTCGAATATAAAACATAAAGAAAAAATAATAATTCAGAAAATATAAAATAAACCTTAATGTCTAATCAAACAGAGATTTGCTTATAAATAATTCTACAATCATGCAACAAAAAATATAGCAAGTAATTATTTATAAATTAAATCAAAAAATATTGCTATATTTTATATGAAAAGTTAATTTTTTTGCTTAGCAAATTCGTGAACAAGATATATCTGAAAATAAAGCAGAATAAAAAAAAGCTTCACAGTGCCACTAATTCTCTCTACATTGTTTTTGAAATAATCTTCCAAAAGTACACAAACTACCACGATAGTAGAAAATTTATAGCAGTATTCCAAAGCATAGCATCGTGTATACGTCACGTCTTGAATAATATTGTATCAGCCGAGTCGAATGCTTCAAAGTGGCGAAGAATCGAGGATTTATTATTGCATATTGATCAACATCCAGAGGCGAGATATTATGCGATCAACGAGAGAGCGATGAAGATTTTACTGCGGATTCTTCAGAAGATTAAGGATGATCGAATCAAATAGCGACAATAGAAATGTCGAAATTACACCGCGAAGTAGTTTCTGTATTCATATAATCAACTTTATAGTAAGTTTAATTAGACGAATTTTTAGATATTTTGCTGTTATACATAATGTTAAAAAAATATTATGAAATTATTCTCTTTGTTTCAAATAGTGAATATAAAGAATGCTACCAAAGATCTAGCAAAAGTCTAACAAACGAAAGAATTTATTCATATTTGCTTAAAATTCTCAGAAAACTTAAACTTATTGAAACTGATTGTGAGATCAATGATGTAATGTATAATGATATCTACAATGTATATATGTTATTGAGCTATTTTTTATGTGAATTTAGATTTATTTATATTTTTAATTCTATTATATATAATATAGGATGTTCCATTGGAAGTTGTTGAAATTAATCAGCTGTCATTTTTAAACGCACATAAGGAGCAGAAAAAGTGTCTTCTAATAGAGAACATTTTTATTTACATATGGACTAAAGACAATTGGAAATATTATTATTATTCAATAAACGTTTATAAAAAAACGACAATCTCTTTTATTGATATACATATTCGAAGTGCGTACAATCAGAATTGAAATAGAAATCAAGTTTCTTTTGGAAACTATAAAAACTTTGCATAACATCTCAATACCTCGCACAGCGAAGAAACTATCGAATTACTCGCATATTTAAGTGAAATAAATTGTTTTTTAATAACAAAAATTCCAATTTTTTTTTAATTAAAAAATATTTCAGTAAATACTTCATAAAGTAAAAGAAAAAATATTTCATTAAATATTATATACCCTTTAGTATTACGTATATATTTTATAATAAGCAAACATTCTCATATTTGACATAATAAATTATTTTTAATCAAATATGTACTTTTTTAAAGTATTTAAATAATTAATATATGTTATTAATTGTATAGAGAAAAGAAATTTATAAATTAGTTCTCTAAAGTAAGAAAAAATAGAACTAAAATAAAATTTTTATCCATATCCAAAAATAATTATAATCAATTCTAGGTATATATAGAATTATACACGTATACACACATAATTTTTTATTTATTTGAAAAGATACATGCTTAATTAAAATAAATATGTGTTTAAAATTAATTAATAATTATGTACTATATTGTAAAAAGCGTACATCTTTTTTAAAACACAAAAATTATATTAAATAAAAAAAATTTGTTGCCGGCTCGGTAGGAAAGAGACAGAAAACAGTATATCTGTTTTCTTCTACTATCCGAAGCTAACCGAGCTCACATGTACGCGGTTTTCGCTTGTGTGCGTTATCCCTTCCATCACAGTTGCTCGCGTCTCAATTCTGGCATCACTCGCGGTACTCTCGGTAGTCGCGCGTAGGCATCATTCGGAGTCGTTTCGTTTCGTCGCGTCAGTCTCCGTGATTCTTCCGTACGTGCCGAGTCTGGTTTTCTTTAGCCGGTTCTTCAGGATACCGTGTATACCGAGCTACCCGTGGGTCTCGAGCGATACTCTTCCGCGACGTAGACGGGAGTTGCGAAGTTCCCCTTAGCAAAGTTATACAATTCTTTTATCACCCCGGGAAGGCGTTAAATTTCGCCGACTGTTCTTTATCTTCTTCATCTTGCTCCGTGTGATCCGCGTGTGACGGAATTGGCGTATCGTCGATCTCAACCCTTGAATACTCAGCCCCCGCTGCCAACATGTTTCCCTATGACAACTATAAGATGGTAAGTTTAGTGAAAATGTCAAGTTTCTCGATTATATCTACTCGTATACCTTGGTGCCCCCGAAACGATCGATCAATAGATTCATTCATGTCGCATGCACTTTTTTTGCATAGCTTCTTACATTATTCTTTTTCTAATCTTGAAGAAATTGCGCTCCTATTTTATCCCGGTTTAAATGTAGTGTATATAGAGAAAAAAAGGAGGAAGGAATTGAATAAAATAATAGATCTACAATTTGGAATTAAAGGCACGAATGTGTTCGGTAATTTGCGATAGTATAATTTGCTTTTGATCCGCGACTCTGTTGCAAGGACAATTTTTCCTGGTTTATATAAAATTGGAGAACGCGGGTGTCCATGATGGATGATGGCTGAATAATCAGAGTACGTTAGATGACATCGTTCGCATGGTATCTCGCGATAACGAGCTTTAATTCTTCATATGTAAATGATGGGAACGCATTACCGGATTAGATATTGAATTTTTATTGGTTGCATCCGCGATGTTTTGCGTCATGTTTCGCGTACGTCACGATTTTTCAATCTCTAATATCTAATAGCAATAATTAATTTGTCATAGTCTTACTTTTATTGCGTTAAATTTGAAATTGAAATAAATAAATAAATAAATATATATATATATATATATATATATATATATATATATATATACAATAATAGCAGACGATAATAAGACTGCTTTCTTTTGCATGTGCATCTGTCTTTATTTTTATTTTGTTTACTTAATTCGCTATCTCAGTAATATTGATTTTTACTGCACAGCTGATTTTATTGTTTCTTATGTGTATGAATACTATGTACGGCGGTCAGCTGATATTAACAAACTATAAATGTTGTACGTAAAATATTTAATTTTTTCTTAAATAATAATTTAAATGGTTGATTGATTATTATATTTAAATAGAAATATCAACATAATATTTTTATACATTTAAGAAACAAAGTTTATTTTTGTTTTGATCGCGCGAAGAAGTTTTGTGGAAATAAATTTATTTATTTTATCTGTCAGCAATAACAGATGACAGATCACGTATATAAATGTAGTTACGAGCCTGAGGGTGCGAATTCTACAATACAAAAATTTGAAGCTGCAATAGTTTTTGAGTTATAAGCGATCAAAGTTTGCCAATGATATCGCACGCTCAGATCCGTAACTACACATACACGCGTACCGATTTATGTCATCTGTTATTGATTTTAGGAATCAGATAATATTGATTTTTACTGCATAGCTGATTTTATTGTTTCTTATGTGTATGGATATTATGTACGACGGTCAGCTGATATTAATGAACTATAAATGTTGTACGTAAAATATTTAATTTTTTCTTAAATAATAATTTAAATGGTTGATTGATTATTATATTTAAATAGAAATATAAACATAATATTTTTATACATTTAAGAAACAAAGTTATTATTGGCAAACTTTGATCATTTATAACTTAAAAACTATTGTAACTTTGATATTTCTGTATTAAGATCTTTTTATTCCATTTTGCCTCTAGAATACGCTATTAAAATATTGTACGGAGATTGTGAGACACCCTGTATATCAGTTTACTGATACTGATGTCAAATGACATATTGTATATTGATATTTTTAAAACGCGAATAAAATTTTAGTTTATCGCGCTTGACACGAGAAATAGAATCATCACGGCGCGACGAACATTTTTGCCTTCTGCTCGTCTTTGCTATAAAGATTGACGGCATTAATTGGATCGAGAAGGACGATTTAATCTTAGATTTTTATTGCTCGCATTGCACAAGGATAACTCGTGTGTACGTGTAGCCGTTTAACGGCATCGTACCGATCTTCTCTCCGCCGTTCCTCTCTCACGTCTACTGAATTAATGATTATTCTCGCTACGATTCGCGACATCGCTTGGTCGATCGGTGTCGTAATAGCCGACTGGATCCTATCGTAAGATCAATGGAGATGCGCTATAATACAATACGCAAAGGTGTCGTAAGAGCGGAGATACAACGCCGTGTCTGGGCAATAAACGATGAATGGTAGTCGCGAATAGTCGCGATTACAGCATAATTTTCGCTGTTACATCAGAAATTGAAATAATGAAATGTGGGAGTCGATGGCAAAAGGCTTTTACAAAGCTTGCAAAATGGCGGCGACGAAAATCATATACTCGCCGCAATCATATCCGCGTCGATTTACCGCGTGTTAACCCCCGAAATCGATCAAATTTTTTAATTTTTTAATTCTCATAATAATATGAATATTTGCCTATTGTTTGTTGCAGTATAACTCGAATGAATTTGGACAGGACTCGCCAAGATACACGTTACAAGGTACCCTTTACGCAGACTCTCACTATATCGGTAAGCGAGAGAGAAAACGATTTCCAATATATTAATAAAATAAGAAAAATTGAGATCAATCTCGACTTTAATAATTTCGATAAAAAAGAATGAAATTTTTTGTGTTGTATGTGAATTGTTGTATGAATCATCTCGTTGTTCTTCAAATAAGTAAGCACCACGAATAATAACGGATGAAAATGGAGCACGTAACAACGGATTCGCGCATTATCTCAATTATTAATTTTATGAAAATAATTATGAAATAGATTATTAATTTATATATCTGCTAATCGATATCAACTTGGATATAATTAAACAAAATAGTGATAGCAAAACTCCGGAAGATTCGATAGATCGATCGTTATCTGGAAATCAGTAGCCGGCATGGACATATTATGTATATATAATATACGTATACACGATATATATATATCATTTGAAAATCGCATAACGATCCGAATAAATCAATAAATGATAAAAGAGGTTTTACAAGAGCGTTAATATTCAACTGTTTAACATTTGTTCGTAAAATTTGCCGTTCTGCCTGTCGCATAAAAACAATAAAAATCTCGGTATTTGTGCACGGCTTGCGACTTTGCGGGTATATCCAACATTAAAACAAATTTCACGAAAAACTTTGTCGATTAAATATTGCCAATAAAAGCAATTTCCCGGTGTTTGCTGCGAAATGCATTACTTTGTTATTTATACGACACTTATTAAAGCTCTGGCATCTTAGTAGCGTTATCTTAATAATTTTTCCGTCACAGAAAATCGCTTCTCTTTGATGCACGTGATACTTTGTTGCGATACTCGTTAATATCGATTTATCGCTCTAAATTGATTTACTTGTAGAATCTTGCGCGTTGTCGAAATAATGATCGTGAACCGCGCGAGTCGCTCCGAATGGTCTACATATTAATCGAAGCTACATCTTTAGCTTTAGAGATGCAATTGCGGCTTTGTACATTATAATGGATTTTTGAAAAATAATTGTCATCTCGTAACACAGGTGCAGCATAATATCATCATGCTCTACGTCTCGCGAATATATGTCATAGATTCTTCAGAGAATTTGTTGTGTGATGAAAAATCATACATATGCCTAAATTAAAATTTATTATTAAATTAATATACCGAATTTAATATTTTTAACAAAAATAAAAAGGCATTTTATTTCACTGTCAATGAAAGAAAGGAAGAGACAGAAAAATCACGAGTTAAATATTAAGGAATAAAAATGTAGTACGCAATTAGTCATTAAAAAAAAAAAAAAATGTATGTGCAAATAATTACAGAAAAAAAAATTATACGCTTAAATATTCAAATATTCAATATAATATAAATGATGATAGATCTATAAAATTGGCAAAGTTGTCATCACGAGGGTTCGTTATTATGGACCAGATGAAAAAAGTAGCAGTTTAAGTGCGCTATCGAAATATGTATCGACGCTCGTGGTATCCGATAGCTGACCGGAACGGCTTATAAATGAGAGGCTCTGCCCTCCTCTTGTCGTGAGGGGAGCGAAAAAGTTTTATCAGACATCGAACACCGGTAGTTGGTAGGAATGCCCGAGTAGTTTCCGTTTTCTCGTTGAGAAGCACCCGATATGGAAATTATATCAAGCAAATGTCAATATTAAGGAATACGTTCCCGAAGCTTATTGCTGTTATTTTCAACTGAAATAATGACCTGCGCCGGATACCGTGTTTATTGGACCTTATATCGGGTGTGTGCTTTACCGCAGAACGATGCCGAGACTCTTAGGGCCGGTTGTTCCAACTTCTTGATAGATTTACCCGTCAATCACCCATTAGATAAATATCAGTATAAATAGAGACCTTAATACGATGGTTGGAATAAAGAATAGAATTACTTTTTGATAATAACAATTTAACCCACAGATAAACTTTACAATAGATGAAACAACAATTATTGATATACTAATATCTACTAAACTATCTACCAAAAAGTTGGAACAACTGGCCCCTAGTGAGATGTTAGATGCGAAATTTTCGACTCGTCGAAAGTCCGGCAAAGTTGTATCATATCGCGTCTAGAGGAAGGGGGAGGGGGGTACTCGTTCTTGAAATAATCACTGCGGGAAAGGAACGACATCGTTATTTGATTAGGAAGTTTGGCGCGCCACGTTTTCAAAGCAGATCGTCGTGCTTTAATTGACTGGAATTTTACAAACATAATGAAGCGATTGCAATGCGTCGCTTTTACTTCTGACGAACAAAAAATTTGGTTAAACCTCGCGCGACGATGTATTTTAAACTCGATTCGAACGCCCATTATTCGGCCACGTGCGCGATGTTCTTTGCTCACCGAATGACACCGAGTGCCGTATTATTTGTTATTTCCCGCTCGGATGATGTAGAAACTAATAATCGACGAGGCTCTATCGACATTCCATAAATCAATTACATCAAGCGAAGAAGAACTTTTACAGGATTCACAAAAGCGACTTTTCCTGTTAAAAAGAGAAAAGAAATTTTCGAAAGATCTACAATAATACTTATAATTGCATATAATTTGGAATGCATCGATTATTTAAATCTCGGATATTCGGACAAGCAACAATCGGATGACATATGATTGATCGAATCCGCACCTGTTTTTTTTTTATCGCAGACAGCAATATCGCAGGAACCGGTTCTGAAGATGCGCGGACAGGTAGCGGTGGTATTCAACCTTTATACAGTGGATATGCACCCCCTCAACTGGCGCAGCCAACCTACCCAAAGAGAAAAGAAATTTTCGAAAGATCTACAATAATACTTATAATTGCATATAATTTGGAATGCATCGATTATTTAAATCTCGGATATTTGGACAAGCAACAATCGGATGACATATGATTGATCGAATCCGCACCTGTTTTTTTTTTTTTATCGCAGACAGTAATATCGCAGGAACCGGTTCTGAAGATGCGCGGACAGGTAGCAGTGGTATTCAACCTTTATACAGTGGATATGCACCCCCTCAACTGGCGCAGCCAACCTACCCAATGCATCTACCTCACCCCAGGGTGGTAAGTAATTTTTCTTCTATCTTTCTCTTTTTTATTTAGCTTCTCCTTTTTCCCCCTTTCTATCTCAACTACCTTCCGGTCGCGATCAAATCCGAAGAAACAATCTATCACGCGTGATTTGGCTGTTGGTTTCTCCGGAGTTACTATCGTGAAAACAACGTCTCTGGAACTTCTTAACAGACACAGAATATTCATTTTCCCAGGATTTTCTCTGTCGTTGAACATGTGAGTCGGACGAGGAAGTCGACAGATTAAAACCTAAGCGAGCGACCTAATCTTGGTGCTCCGAAAGATCAATATACCTCTCGAGCGGCGTGTTCCCCCCGTCCCGAAAGTTATAAAGTTTGACGAAACCTTGAACGCATCATCGATGTTGTGTCGGATAAAAATTTGATCGATGATAAAAAATTGATTTTTTCGAATTTGAAAGACTTGTACCTTTTTTTTTTATCGCAGACAGTAATATCGCAGGAACCGGTTCTGAAGATGCGCGGACAGGTAGCAGTGGTATTCAACCTTTATACAGTGGATATGCACCCCCTCAACTGGCGCAGCCAACCTACCCAATGCATCTACCTCACAACCCCAGGGTAAGTAATTTTTCTTCTATCTTTCTCTTTTTTATTTAGCTTCTCCTTTTTCCCCCTTTCTATCTCAACTACCTTCCGGTCGCGATCAAATCCGAAGAAACAATCTATCACGCGTGATTTGGCTGTTGGTTTCTCCGGAGTTACTATCGTGAAAACAACGTCTCTGGAACTTCTTAACAGACACAGAATATTCATTTTCCCAGGATTTTCTCTGTCGTTGAACATGTGAGTCGGACGAGGAAGTCGACAGATTAAAACCTAAGCGAGCGACCTAATCTTGGTGCTCCGAAAGATCAATATACCTCTCGAGCGGCGTGTTCCCCCCGTCCCGAAAGTTATAAAGTTTGACGAAACCTTGAACGCATCATCGATGTTGTGTCGGATAAAAATTTGATCGATGATAAAAAATTGATTTTTTCGAATTTGAAAGACTTGTACCCGATAGTTTTCGCGAACTTGTTCGCATTGTCGCGATTATACTGTCGCGGTTGTAGATAATTCAGTTTGATTGGGAATTGCTGTTGCAAACTTTTATTCGATCAACGGGAAATTGGAAAAAGACGAAGACGGTTGTTTGAGATGCACTTATCGCAGACAAGATTCGGAATTTCGTTGCATAATCGAGCGAAAACATTCTTCGACAAATACACAAACTTTTCGGGGGTTTATCGTTTCGTTTGATGGCTTTCCGAAGAATATGATAAGTTGCGATCGAGGAGCTTTGCGTGGAGATAAATGCTCTAAATTTCGCCCAAGGATTCGCTCTCGAAGCGCGCTCCGAGGTCATCTCGAGATGAGACGCGCGTCGTTTTTTAATCGGTCGGCTATTACTCTCCGATTTAACGGCGTTGATTTTAATCCTTTTCATTTGACTGTGATTCGCCGTGACTAGCTGGCGGACTCCTTCTGGCCGTCTTATTTTGGACCACCCAGTTGACTGTCGCGTGCTCACGACAGGAGAGAGACGAAGATTAGACTTTTATGAACGAGTTTTGAGTAGGTGCGAGAGAGCGCTATACGCGAGAGAATAGTGCTCGGCGTATCCGATATCAAAGCTGATCAAAGTGATCCATTATGATCAGCGAGAGAAAGAAGAAGAGAGATAAAGAGAGAGAGAGACAAACGTATTTAAAGAAATCGTACAAAATGTCGAGAATCGCGTAGCTTCTCGCTCGAGCCTTCTTATTACTGGGATCTTTATCGTTTGTAGCTACAGGAGAGATAAATCAAACTCGGTTTCACGCGTTTGCTCGCTCGTTTGTTCTCAGAGTAGGCATTTCCTTGGAAATTCTGTCATCGGAAATCCCCCAACATCTTACAAAATCTTTCCAATGATAAAACGAAGATAAAGATTAAGATATAATAACACTGTTGCGTGAAGCAAATTGTTGCACGTCGATAGTCGGTATATCGTTGTCGTGTTTCACAAATCCTCAAGTTACCAAGTTTCCACGACGAAGATAGAAATACTGAACACGTAAATTCAACAATTAATTACCAAAGACATGTATGTTCACCAAAACACGTCGCAACATTCACACTTTGCCGCAAGAACCAAGCTTGGAACTATTTGCGCTCGGCGATTTCAGGCATACTCGGCGATGTCGCCGTATGGATTTGCAGCACCGATTCTGGGCAATGACCAGTGCGGCTTTCCAGTCGTCAATGTCGATATTCCGGGATAACCGCGATCGCAACGAACAGCGGCACAAGGGCGTCGTCCCTGGCATCGTTGCAATATAGCCATAGTCCTGATGCATCGCCAACCGCGCATGATACTGTCATGGGTACGTCATGGGTGAGGGGTTGATGACTTAAGGTCATTGCACACAAAATTCAGTAAGAGCGTCTCGTCTAGACGAGATAAACACTTGGATAATCTTGATAATTTAGACACTGAAGCATTTGGCAATCAATAGTTTAACACTCAATGCGATGTTGTATTGTGTGGAGAATTTGGACTTGATAATGTTATACATGAGTTACGACGTTTTTCGCAGATTTTTCCCATGGACCAATCAGTATCCAATTATAGCAGTAATCCACCTATGTCCATCAATTTGCCGCCACCTTTAACCGACTCGATACCAGGTTGGACACCTGGAGCCGCGCCAGTGTCTCCGCATTTTACAGCGGATCCAAATCCTGGTATTCACATGGTACGTATCGAAGTTACTATCTAAATTTTTCTACTAATTTCGATGGATCTTACAAGCAGACAGTCGCAGGATCTTTGCAACGTTATTCCCTTTCGTGTTATTTAAATTTTGCTGATTTCTCCATCACTTTTGTAAGACACACGGGCATATATTGATATATAATTATAATGATATCGTTGAATGGTTCCTGAGACACGCGTATATTCACGCTGCATCAAGTTTGGTCGCTTTAGAAACAATTCTCTTTACACGAATGCTCGAATATCAATCACTTTTTTCCCAATAATATTTCGCGATATATGTATATATACACTAATGCGATACGTCGATAGTATACACATATAAACGACACGCATAATTCTTTTTTTTTCTGGGAGAGGAGGCAGAGAAGATCAAGCGGGAATCATAGTACGAATGAATACAAAAGAATCGAGGCTGCATTATTTTCTTATCACGTTACACTTTCAAGTATATTTGTATAAAGAATTACAATCGCTCTTGGCACATAATCATTTTAGCACTGAAGTCGCACAAATAGCATAATTGCATCGCACCAAGAAATCATCGTTTATGTGCTTTCCTCACGAGCGACTATCTATATATTTATATCCTCCCTTCCCCGCTGTATATAAAAGAATTATTAAGTTTGTCGTGTTCATTTGACATATTTTTGTTCATTCCATTCTGTTTGTTGTGAACGTTGTGTTGACTTGGTTGTTCTTTTTTTTTTTGGTTTTGTTGTTGCGTTGATGTTGTGTATGAAGCTGGTGCCTGAACAGCAGAGGCTAGACGATGCCATCGACGTCCTTCGCGACCTCGGCCCGGTTGATACACACGGTGGGATATACTCGCATATCTCATCATCGCAGCTAGACCCTCTGGTAAGAATTTGAATAATTGCCTTAAAATGAATATCAAAGCAAGTTCCTCTTTTGGTCGATATTACATACGACAAACTTTTTAAGCGCATTGATTAGCTAATTTCTAGAGACTCAAGAAATTTTCTATTTTGCAGCCAATCAGTATGCTTAAAAAATTTGTCCTACGACAAATATAATATTACTCTTTCCTCCTCTCCGCCTTTGTGGTAATATATAATATATGCTACATTTTTCAGACGAGTCCACCTTCTGCAGTAACGGTAACACAATGTCAAGGTTCCTACCCCGGTCTTACGCCCACGCCCAATATAGATGATTCCATTAAAAGAGAAAGATTACCAGTGACGAATGCCGGTAAGTTGATCCTGAAGTGATATTCGAAATGCATATTATGATATAATTTACGATATGGAAAAAAGCCGACTTGTCTTACTTCTTGTCTATTTAAATCATATCTATTGATATATATGTCAGAATTGAGTGGTTCAGGAATTTTCGTAAAAAAGAAAAAAAAGAAGATTAATAAATCAGATAATTGTGGTGCGTTGCAACACTTTCATCACAAGACATTCTATTTTCGCAAGGGAGAGGAAGAAGAGAAGGAGTTTCCAGGTGTTTTGCAACGGAGTCGCGCGGTTGAATAAGGAAATATTAAATAAATCACGCGAAATCTTTGCTATCCGGCGGTCGTGCCTACATTATTCCTGCGAGTACGGTTATCTAGCTCTTCTTTTCTTTTTCCGCTTTGCCGGGTCTGTCTTTTTCAATTTTTTATCATTAAAGCCATTACGTGGACGGGGAGAACATTTGGAATTCTTTTATTACGGTTTAGGAGATCCCCTGTTCCGAAGGAATGCAGAACATTCATGCAGTCTTGGAAACTATTTATGCGTTTTGTATGCGTGGAAATAAATAATTTCTGTGAAAATTATTCTATCGAAAACTGAATAATCCAAAATCTTTTGCACAAAAAATATGTTAAATTACACAAATATTTTTAATATTTCGTTCATAGTCCAGTAGTTTCGATACGCTACTATGTTAAATAAAATCATGATCGCATATTTTTGCATACAATTGTACATCTGATTTATCCGCCGCGATTATCTCACGGAAACTTTTTTTTTAAAGAGACACTCACGGCATATATGTTATGCGACTTAAGGGGATCCAAAAGCTCGTCTGTTTTACCGACCAAAAATTATTATTTTGCACATTGATCTTCTTTTTTTTAGTTGAATAGAATAATAAATCCTTTTCCACGATTTAAGTGCACATCGAAACAAAGATGAGACTTCACGAGTTTATGTTAAAAACGAAGAAAAGCTAAAAAATTACAGTTTTTTTACCGGCTTCTTGCGTCAGGTCGTAACAATATTTGCTTAATATAAAAGTTTTGCAGTTTGTATGCGCAAAATAGAATAACTTCGTCTTCGGAATTGCATGAAAGAATATAGGTAAACGTTTAAAAATGTAATTAGAAACCTAGTAAAAAACATTTCGGTGTGCAAAATTTCGGTGTGCAAAAAGTATGCAAAATATTTTTGTTGATTATAGATATCAACAAATCCTTTTCCATAATTAAAGTATACATAATAACGGAGTGCGGGGTTTATGATTTCATATGAAAAGTGAAAAAAAATTAAAAAATCACAGTTTTGTTATCGGCTTCTGCCGTCAACATTTACTTAATATAAAAAACCTGCAACCTGCACGTGCCTAACAAGTGAACTCCGCACTCGGCATTTTATCAAAGAGTATTAGTGAACTTCGAGAAGTAAGTTTAGAAGCTTTATAAAAAAGATTTTACTATGCAACATTTTGCACACCGAAATGTTTCTCACTAGGCTTTCAAATACATTTTCAAACGTTCACTTATATTCCTTCATGCATTTCCGAGTGGAGAGGTATCCTAGTTTGCACGTACACACCGCAAAACCCTTATATTAAGCAAATATATAATTATTATGGCCGGTAAAACAGGACGGTCCGGCAACACCTCGTGGTCGGCCTACCTGACAGTGAGTTCCGGCGCCCTAAAAAATTACAGTTTTTTTACCGGCTTCTTGCGTCAGGTCGTAACAATATTTGCTTAATATAAAAGTTTTGCAGTTTGTATGCGCAAAATAGAATAACTTCGTCTTCGGAATTGCATGAAAGAATATAGGTAAACGTTTAAAAAATTTTGCACACCGAAATGTTTTTTACTAGGCTTCTAATTACATTTTTAAACGTTTACCTATATTCTTTCATGCAATTCCGAAGATTGTTGATTATAGATATCAACAAATCCTTTTCCATAATTAAAGTATACATAATAACGGAGTGCGGGGTTTATGATTTCATATGAAAAGTGAAAAAAAATTAAAAAATTACAGTTTTGTTATCGGCTTCTGCCGTCAACATTTACTTAATATAAAAAACCTGCAACTTGCACGTGCCTAACAAGTGAACTCCGCACTCGGCATTTTATCAAAGAGTATTAGTGAACTTCGAGAAAGTGAGTTTAGAAGCTTTTTAAAAAAGATTTTACTATGCAACATTTTGCACACCGAAATGTTTCTCACTAGGCTTTCAAATACATTTTCAAACGTTCACTTATATTCCTTCATGCATTTCCGAGTGGAGAGGTATCCTATTTTGCACATACACACCGCAAAACCCTTATATTAAGCAAATATATAATTATTATGGCCGGTAAAACAGGACGGTCCGGCATCCTCTTAATACTTTCGTGGCGAATTATCAGGCAAGAGAGCGTTTAAAGAGATCGGTGGAATCAGAATTGAGCGAAATCACGCAAAGTGCGTTTCCTGCTTCTAATTAAACGCCTTTCACGGTTTCGTGATTAACATAAGACCTATTGCCTAAAATTCAGGGAGGATCGAAGATTGTGATTGCGGTTTTTGGCGAAGGTCGACCGTGTTTCTTCTTTTTCTTTTTCCGGATAGCCTGAGACATTTTTCCTCAGTTACATCAGATAATACGTGAATAAAGTTGCCGTCGAATAATATGCCTTGAAACTTCCTGAAACATGTTTCGCTCCTAGTCACTCTTTTAGATATATGAAAAAAATACTTTTTTTTACAACGAAACACTCTGGACTGATGTGTATTCTACTTGGTTTTCTTTTTATTTCGTAAATTACATGCATATATATTATAGCATAACAATGCAATTGTCTTGTGAAAACTATGCGGCAGTATTAATGAGCAGAATACATCTCCTTAGAAAAGAGAATAGATTTGCTCGTTGGTGATAGCAAGACGAAGCTATCGAGAGGGAAACTTGTAGCGGCAGGTGTAATCTGGGATGACACGGTCGATTCGACGTCGCAGAGAAAAGGGACGAAAAGATCACGCAGATCGTAAGTATTTGAAAAAATTATCGAAACGTTATAACGACAAAAAGTTCCTTTGTCAAAGGATAGATATAAAAAGCGACAGTAATACAAATTGGGAAAAACTGCAGCTACTCGCGACACACATATCAATATATGCTGTTTCATTCAAAAAATCTCAAGATGTATAAAACCTGTGTGTTTGATATGTTATTAATTCGCAATACTTGCTTATACTAATGCTTATACATTCGACTTTCCTTTGCTCTTGAACTAACTTGTTGTGTCTTTGAATAGGAGTTGCTCCAGCGCTCACGAAGACTGCGACAATCCTGATACAAAGCGCGAGGAAGAACGTCGTCAGGCCAAAAACGTGTCTGAAAGGTTAGTGAATACACGCAGTATGCACTTTGTTGCATCTTGATATACAAAAATAATTTCTGTCTCTTCCGTTCTTCTCGTTCCTGTATCCCGATATACGTATGTATATGTCGCTTACGATATGAGCGATACGTGTGTATATCTCTACCGCCGAATATAAGATACGAAACTTCGCTGCATATTCTCTCGGAAAGAATCCCTCTACAAAGTAGTATGCATGTCTAAACGAGATGTTATTCGTGATAAGCAATAAACTACGAGATGTAATAAATTTCACGATTCACAAATGATAAGAAAATATGTGGCATGTTTACGGCTTTGTTATGACACCAAGAATCCTGCAGAACTTCCTTTACACCCGTTGCACTGTACATAAGGCCCGTATTCAGGCGTGAAAATTAAAATGTTTTTGGTTAGAAGAACAAAAATCAAATCAGACAAAAAGATAAAATCTGTTAATAACTCTCGTACATACCTGCAAATCAGTCTCATTTTAATTCATTGTCAGCTGCGGTCCCAAGGCATGCTATTTTTCGTTTAGAATCGTACTTATTTTACATCACTAAACGTTGCATCAAGAATTGCTCACTTGTATAGATTTTTTCCTTAATCATCGCATTTTCTTTATCTTTATTATTATATATCTTCTTCAAATAAAAGAATGTGCAATATTTGTAGACTGATAAATCACTTATATGTTGGTCATATTCATATTATTTAAATTTTTGAACATTACAATCGTCATATTTTTTAAAAATAAAAATTGTTTACCTTGAGACATGTTTCTTCAATAGCGTATAATTAAACATGGTCCGTATTCTACGTATATGTGACATAACAATGCGACATGAATTCTAAAATTCTAATGACAAAAATAAATGACATGTTCTTCTTTGTATCATTTTATGAGATCGGTATGTTCATACATATATACACGGAGACTCACATAATTAACAATTTAATATGTCAAGAATTATGCGTTCATTATTAATCGTTTTGGTCTTTTTTGTTCTGGAATTTTTCATAGATCCTAGGGACCTTTAAACTCTATGCCAAGATTGATCCCTCCCTCTAATCTCCCTAAAGGATAAAGAGGGAGGCAACTTCAAAATTTCAAAAGGGTGCCTATGTAAAATCAATCTACATTATAGGAAACAAGCAATTTTTATCTAATCTTGACATAGATTTAAAAATCTCTGGGATCTATGAAAATGGAGAAAGGAACAATTAAAATTGAGCGCAGTTTTTGAGATATTAAACTATTAACAGTTATGTGGGTTACCCTATGTGTGAATGTGTGTGTATAATTTCAATATCTCACACATGCTTATATAATTGTATTTTTATTAATCAAAAGTTATAATATATATATAATTTTTTTTGCACAATTATATTTCTTTAAAACTTGAGTTGCACTATACTAACATTTTCTATTGTAAAAATATATGAGAAGAAAATTTCTTAAAAGCTTAATGTGCACAATGTGCACAGTGTGTAAGTATACATGGTATAAAAGATGTAACATTATCAAAAGATATAAATTTATTTTATTCCCCAATTTAAAAAGAGAAAAATATTTTTAAGAGGGTAATTTAAATATTGTAAATCTCTAAATTTTTTATCTTTCACAATAGGAAACGTACGAGAGAGTTGAACAAGACTTTTAAAAAACTTGCCAATAAATATAGTGATCAATCTCAAACGAAGCTGAATATTCTCAGCATGGTGGTGGAAATGATAAACAAACTAGAACAACAAGTCACAGGTACGTGTGTCAACTTGGATGTTTATCGTGAGTTGTTGTATCGTATTAATATATGTATTAATATTCATGTGTTTAATTAATATATTCTTTCTTTGTTCAGAACAGCACCCTAGCGTCTCGATAGAAGAGTGGAGAGATTTTTGGTTAGATTTAAGAAGAGAAGAGGAAGCGAAAGAAGAGGAGGAAAGAGCAAGTGATGGCCCTGATTTACCAGGCTATCTTGCAACGCACATAGCATATCCGCATTCTCATTTACTTGCACACTTCCAATCACTCTTCCCCACATTATTTGTAAGATTTTGTTAAAAGTAGAATTCGTTATATATATACATAAATATGTATAACAAAATATTTTACTTAAATATATATCTTTGTTTCAGGGTCCACAATCTTCTCTTCAGCACAATCCACCACAACCACAGTAGCAGAGGTTCAATGGCGGTATTGTTACATCCTTTGTATTTCGTCCCTGCGTGGAAGCTGTCTTTCGCGGTATATTTATTGATGCATCTCTGAAGGATCATCTCTTAGCACGTCGCTAAGAGGATTCTTTATCAACAAGAGCGGATATTTTGTGATAGTCGCCATTTTGAGTAGTTTTACGACTTACCGTCTTATCGGGCAGACGCATCTTTCTGACGACTATAATTATCCAATATTCTTTGTTGTCTTTCCTAATTATTATTAAAGTTACTGAGTTATTTTATAAAAGAAATGTTATTATTTCTCGGCGCGAGTGCTTGTGTGTGAATGGCGGTTGTGTTGCGCGCTTTAATATATATGGAAATCGACTCGCGGACGCAACAGTATCATTCTGTGTTAAGATACATTATAAAATCGATAACAAATTTACGAATATTAATTGCACATCTATATAGAAATTTTTTCTGCTCTCATATAAGTTGTAGAAGTATACAAAAAATTGTGGATATTATTGTAATGTCCTTCATTGGTGGAAAAAAGAAAAGAAGAAAAGAAAACGTAACGATAATTGTACATTGCGATAAACTGTAGAAAGAGCCGTTCACAGACACTGATAAAATATACGATCACATATTTGTATTCGCGAAGGTAATCATGTAAAATAATAATGACAATAAATAGCTCGTAAGTCAGCCTAAGCTAGATACTTGTCGATAGTCGTAGATAGCCAAAGTAAAGCTGAAGAGCATTGATACCGTCCAGAGGGAAGGGGATTCAAATTTCAAATCATCAACCATAAAGACTCCTTCACGCAGACTTTTGAAACGAAATAATTATGCTCTTAATAATGGCGTTATTTTCGAATAAATGCATTTCGAGGATGTACTGGAGGATCAAGGGGTACTGCATTTTCGTTTGATATAACGAGTTGGTTGGGTTCGATAAGGAATCAACTTATATGATTACTGTTAAGTGTAAATAACAATGCAAAAACGTAAGGAATTATTTGTTGCGGTCTAGTTGTGTAAGAGTTCAGTTTTATTGGTACAATTGCGAATTGATAATTATTATATCATGTAAAGTGACTATTAGATATATAATATTGTGTAATAAAAAAGGATTAATGCGTAAGTGGATTGTAGACAATTTTTGTGAATGGGCCTGAAGGATATTGAAACCGATCTCTTTGACCCTATGCGATTAAAAAGAATGCGACTATTAATATTAACGAAATACGAGATGAATATATAAATATATAAACTCTTCTCTTAACAACAGAAAGAAAGAAAATGAGCGAGAGAGTACGAGAGAGAGAGAGAGAGAGAAAGAATGTGATAGAGAGTGAACAAAAAAGAAAAAGAATTGAAAAAGAAAAAGGTACGTAATCATTAGTATATATAATATTACTATCACACTAATATAATAATTTTTTTCTATAATCGCAATGTCGTCTATAAAGTGGATCCTTGGCAATCCTTAACGTCAAACTTTTTCTCTTTTTTGTTTCTCTTTTTAATATATCATTTTAATATATGCTAGTTGCCATCAATTACTTTTTTCTTTCTCACTTGTTATTTTATTTGTATATTGTATTCTCAGTCTCTTAGACAATATTTACATTATGTTTTACGTTTTGATCCCATGATACGTTTTGGTTTAAATCCAATTATACTTCATTATACGCAGAACTTTACGATTAGTTACATTATGCACAGTATGTAGATAAGATTTTAGACAACGAATATAGCACGATTTGTACTCATCGTATCTAACTGATGACGAAACGTACCATGTTTCATGTTGATATTATTCACACAGGACGTTTCTAACAATATTTTTCTATATATTTCTCATCTTTGGGAAATGAAAAAAATCTTATTGATAATCTTATTCCTATATGAATTTCAGAAATTTTTCTAACTTTGGTTGCAAAAAAAAAACGTTATTAGATAAAAGCAATAGAAATAAAAAGAATCATTATGAAATTACAAATAATATTTATTACATGTGAAACTGAGTTTTATTGGCGTAGTATGCGTATTGAAATAAAATAACATTTATTTTATTTGAATTACTACCAAAAAATGGACGAATATAAGGCCAAGCTCTGATTGGCTATAATTCAAAATATGGTCAAGAGCACACTAGGGGTGTTTTCCAGCAAGGTATACAGATGACACAGTGTAACACACAGTATCATACGATTGGCTATCAAATACAAAATTTTAAATTTCTTCATCTGACAGCCAATCATGTGGTATTGTGTGTTACACCGTATCATCTGTGTATCTTGCTGGAAAACAACCCATGTCTTGAAACTAGCCTCACTGCTTGCATTATGCGTGAAGGCAAATGAATTAGATGCAGCCCATACCGCCGTGCAAGCGTATCGTGTGCAGAATTGGGTAAGTTAATTTTTTTTTAAATTAAGTTAAGTTTAAAGTTAATAACCCAAAAATTAACTAAGTTTACTTTAAAAGTTACTTAAATAAAAATTAACTCAGTTAAAGTTAAGTTGAAAAATTATTAATTTATTAAAAAGTTAAAAGTTAATTATGCAAAACTATGTTTTTTGCATAATTAATCTTTTAATTGTATATTTTAAATCAAACTGTTTAAATTTAGGTAATATAATTAAAAGATAGTTTTTTATAAGAGAAATAATGTATTTTTCTTTATATAATAATTAATAATACACATTATTTAAATATACTATAGTTATAATAGAAATATTACAGTGTTTAAAAACAAAAGGGTTAATAGAGACTTCGGTTAAGAGGATTTTCCTGTTTAATTTGAATCACTTTACCTGCACACGTGCATTATCTTGTGTTTTATCTTTGTCTTTAATTGTTAGATCCTCTAACAATAAATTAAAACAAATTAAAAATATTTATTGAATAAAAGTGTCATCTCAAAATTATAGTCCGTCATTTTTCTTTTTAAGTCATCAAATACTAAATCATCTGCCCTAAACATACGCTCTACGCGCCGAGGATAGTACCGTTGTGTTGTATTTTATAAAAGCACGTTTTAATAGTACTGGATACTGTCTTATGTTATTATAATTATTAGTAAACAGATAATTTTCGACTATCAAAGATATACAATTTTAACTTGTAAAACACTTGTAAAAACTGTGCAGTTGTAAAAACACTACACTGTGTAAAAAAAGTTAATAAGTTAACGTTAATGCATTTAGAAGTTTAAGTTAAAAGTTAACACATTTAAAATTAATTAAGTTAATTAAGTTAAAAGTTATTAACTTTTTAACTTAACTTTTAACTTTTTAACTAGTTACTACCCAACCCTGATCGTGTGTATTAAGTACCGCGTATTTTTTGTGATATTATATTGTTTGATGCCAGATTAATATGAATGACAAGTCAACGCTTCCGTGTAAGATTAATTACTTAGATATTTCCATGTTAGTATACATTCATTATATAATATAGACTATGGGCGACTATGGCGCGATTCTCGAATTATACTTTATCGTCATACGAGTGTTATGGTGATTATCTGTTCCGTAAATGATGCAACTTTACATTATATGAAAAGTATTTCTCTCTGTACGTTGCTTCTCCAAAAAAGTATTATAGTTGCGAATTGTGATAATTGTCATTCGCAAAGTGGATCGCGAATTTCCATCGAACTCTTCGATCTCAACAATGATCTCAGCTCTTCAGTCTTAAGAATGTTTAATATTCTTTTCGTTTTGATTATGTATTTTCTTCTATTTGCACGGCCCTTATTAATTTCGGAAAGAAAAACTTAGGAAATTATAATATAATTTTAAGTTAACTTTGAAAAGAACTAAAATTATTTCTTGTTTATTGGCAAAGAATAGAAACCGTCAAATATTTTATAATATACATAAGTTTATAATAAAAAAATTGACAGTCAAGAAATTGCACTTTTATTCACATATTATATTAAAATGCAATAAACTGTAACTGTTTTTTATTTCTATTTTTACAGAACATCCATTTTGTCCTGACCTGGAGATAACTCCCATATACTTGAAGAAGAATATTCTTGAAGCTGTTCATCAATTTTGCAGTGAGGAGGGAGTCAAGAGTCCAATAGACATTTTAAAGTTTAATCCTGCAAAGAGTAGATTTGTTGTGCGCTGTCCATCTAACGCTTACACGTGGCTACGAACCTCCCTGACTTTAGCCACCAAATACGAGAACGAGACGTGTGTGTTCACAGTACACCGAGCGTCGCGGAATTTATTGTCTTTCACTGCCAACAATAGAACATATAATCACGGAGAAGTAGTCCCGTCCAGATATTAATCATGCCGTTAATTCGCAAGGAGAGCAAAAACACCATTACTTTCGCGTCCAAGGAAGACCACGCTGTACCCAGCAAGACCAATTTGCCAGATCCGAAACCTAGTCCCGGTCCGCTGCTGCCTAATGGTGAGATTGATTGGGATTGCCCATGTCTAGGTGATATGCCGACTGGGCCGTGCGGATTAAAGTTCCGCGAGTTCTTCTCCTGCTTGCAGTACTCAACTGCCGATCCGAAGGACTCCGACTGTCGTAAGCTATTCAAACCATGGCAGGACTGCTTGTTGCAGTATCCGGAGCTGTACGAAAGCAAAGGCGCACCGACAGACGACCTAGACGACAAGACAGAAAGGGCCGAAGAAGCAGACAAGAAGTTGTCGGCTTCCAACGAGGAGAAGGAGAAAGCAATGGTAGCTCACAAAGCAAGAAGTGAACCGAACCAAGACTAACTGAACCTATACTTTATATACTTCGCTGTTTCAAGGTGATACTATGGTGTCTTCTTTCTCTTCTTTTAACGAATATCTATTTCATTGGAAAGGCACAATATCACGCCTTGTCATATTGTGGTGTTGGTAATATTTGCAAGACGTATTTTTAATAGTAAAGGATCTAAAAAGGAAGCTCATGAGAGAAAGATATCTGTATGCAAATGTATATCATTAAGATCAGCAAGCTCTAAATCAAATGCAGGCCCATCAAACAAATGTCGATGTAAAGATACGAAGAATGATGAATCATCCAGCAAAGTAAAGACAATGGAATAATTAAAAGAATCTTCAGATGTACACAGTAGAAAATTCATTAAGTCATATAATGCATGAAACAATAAACAATTCATCAAACTGATTAATTTATCAGATATTTTAATGTATTACATATATATTGAGAAAATAAATCTAATGATATAAAAAATAAGTTTTTGATAATATAATTATATTATAAATACAGAAAGAGAGAGAGAGAGTTATATCATGATAAACTGTATGGTAAATTATATATGTATACATATATTTGCATATTATTCTTTTAATGGTAAAAATTAACTTTGACAATTCAACCCCAGGCTTGACTTTTACAATAATGGATGACTAATTTTCCATCTGCACCGTAACAATCATATAAATTCTTAACTGTCTGATCGGGAGCAGGTGCAAATGTCTGATTAACATAAAGGAACTGTAAGATAAATACATTATTATTATTATCACCTTACCATATTGTTAGAAGAGGAAATCTTTTGTCACATACCAATCTCTCATTGGGATCCAACTTAAGATACTTCTTGATAAATTCGGAGATTCGTCCGATAGGGTTATCTTGGCAGACCGACCATTTTTTCTGTTTCATAATCGGAGCATTGGCAGTAGCCTTCAGGAGTATATCAACTGTGAAATATATGCGTCTATCAATTGAAATACAACACTGTACATTGATTACACGCACTTGTAAATATATGTATAATCAGATGAAGATCTGAGATATAATGCTTTTATACTCTTTGTTTTATCCTTCTGCGCTGTCTGAAGACCATTTCGTACCGCGTTTCCCTCAGGGATGGTTTCTAAACTAGTCGGTGCGTCCTCGGTCGTTGAATCCGGCGTCTCTTCAATCTTCGTCTCGGTTGTCACATTGTTTACCTCCTCTTTAGCAGCCATAATAAAATAGATCCACTTAAATATTCAGAGCATATTATAAAATTATCTCACTACGTTGCATTTTCAATATATATATGTGTAAGATAAAATAAACAATACTTGAGAAACTGGTAAGAGAAATTAAGAAAATACTGTCTTATGTTTCACACGAGTCTACACTGCACACTGCAAAATGACAATCAGCTGATTGCCTTCGAATGTATATAAAAGATGTCCAACTTCATTCAACCTGTTCTGAATCATGATGCATGAATATCTAGATGGTCAACTTAGCGTTACAAACACCAGGCTTCTGCAAATACTTGTAAATGACAAAGAGCGTTTTATGATCAATCCGGACAAAGGACAAAGATTTCTTTAATTGGTTGCACGACGCATTGTGATTGAAATATATATTGTAAATATTTACAAAAAACTTGTAAAATATAGTCGTAAAATTTATTATTAATTCTGTTTGTATATATATTCTCAGTATTAGATAAATTATTCTACTCTTGATTTAAATACAATCTAAGAGAGGGAAAAGTATGATAAAATATTCCAAGATAAATAAGAGATGTGCATTTATGTGTTAGTTATTTCCAATATAAAGCTGGATAAATAAAAGATGTTTTTTTAATTAGGAATATTGCACGTTATCGCTATGGTAGAAGGAGCTGGATGCGGCGAATTGCAACAATTGGTCCAAGAAGAGGAATGCGAAGAACCACTTAGTCATGGAGGAGAAGCTACTCCTCCATCAACACCAGCAAGATCTCAACGTCCGAGTAAAACTGAAGCACATAACTCCAATGTGTCGGTACAGTATCTCATGTTAACACATATAATATACTTGTTCAACATAATTTATAAACTGATATAGCAATGGCATATTAAAATATATATAGCTACATTTATAAATAACGTTTTTGCAGCAACAAATACTATGGGAAAATAACACACAAATATCACCAATTGTCAGTAAAGGAAGCTCTGGTCAAGGGACAAGTCAAGGTTCTATGGTTTCCGGTCGACTCGCTAATACTTCAAGTTATACTGGCAATCAATCTCGATTAACATATTTCAATGAAAAGGAAAAACAAAGGCCTACTCGACCAGATCCACCAAGAATTGCAAGACAGCACAAAGGTAATTGATATTCCAAATTCAGAAAGTATATTTTATAAAAGTATATTTGTTTCATCTTGTTAATTTATTATATATTTCTTCATTTTTATTGTGTATACTTTTCATATTTTCTAATATATATACACACATTCACACATATATTTTAAACCTTAATTAGAATTTTATATTTTTGTTGTACAAACATAGTACAAACAGATTTATATTTAAGTTTCTTAAGTTTTATATTAAGTGCACATCTTTTCGATTTTGTTTTGGTATTGTTATATAAAGCTTTGGTGCCATGCAAACACCATTGCTTTCTGTCAGAGGTTCCTGATGTTCGCCATATGGAACAAGCTTTGCTGCAATTACTGGAAGACTTTCATAGTGGAAATTTACGAGCATTTGGTTGGTATATCTAGTCTTATATAAACAGCAAAATGTTTAATAAAATCATTGTTTTGTCATTGTCTAGGAAAAGATTGTAGTATGGAGCAGATGACGGAAATACGAGAACAACAAGAACGTTTAGCCAGATTACATTTTGAACTAGGCCAACGACAAGAAGTGGGTGGAGAGCAGTCGGGCCTTCGTCAATCGAGTGCGAATATGCGACATTTGCTTCATCGTCTTCAACAATTGAGTATCTGTATAGAGAAGTTACACAGTAAATAATTATCATTTTATCACAATATGATATATTGTTGTTACAAAAATTCTTGTATTTGAGATATATAGACTTATACCGTTGAATACAATTTTTATGAAAAATAGTTGTTAAGTAATATAATATATATGTGTACATATATAAAATATTTTATATTGATATATTCTCTCTCTAGAAATCGTAATCTTTAGTATGAGTGTTATACAAATATATCATGTATATTTGTGAAAAGAAAGGGAAAATAATGACATAATATATAGAGAGAGGAATGTAAATACATAGGTTTTTAATATAATTGTGAACATTTTTTTAGTTGTATTTCTACTAATTACATGTACTACATATACAATTATGTATGTACATACATACACGCATTATGTGCATTTCATATATATATATATCAATCAAATATCTACATATATGTCAATATTCAAACTAACTTGTAGTATTTATGACGAAAATTAAACAATTGCTATTTTCACAACTATGTCAATATTATACTCCATGATGTAATCATGTTATGCTCTACAACCACAATGATCGATTATGCAAATCAGATATTTTCAAAATTTATATAAAAACATTAACTATATAAATGTGTTTGAACAAGATTTATATCTAAAATATTTAATTTTAGATTTATCAAGAGTTTCGAAAGCCCTTAATCTTTCTATGAGATATTAAATATTTAAGTAGATTGCTCCAGAGATTGGTAAGTTTTGTAAAAAAGATGAAATCGGCAGCTTCATTGCAACCGCAATGTACGATTACGATTCACGATACTTTGCAACGATTGAGCTACGCGAAACGACCTGCATTCGATGCCCTGTGGGAGCCGAAGGATATAGCTGGTATCGATGTAAAAGCGACAGAAAAAAGACGTATTCTTGGAGACGAATATTTGGAGAACATAATCAAGTAATAATTTCTAATAAAAATTACTTGATAATATCTACACATATAGATTTAATTCTGTGTACATACATATATTCGTATATAAGTTACTGGAATTTTTATATTTTGTATCAATCGATGAATTAGAGCAAGGCCAAGAATATATATGACGCCAAGTGTAAGTTTAGATTATGTACAAGATAAGGATAAAAGAAAATTAATGATTGATTTTATATACAAAACAACGGTAAATCAAGCGGCAGAAGAAGTTTGGAATGATTTTGAAGTTCAAAGCTCTTGTTTACCGCACACGGAAAAGCGAGAAAAACCTGTATTATTTTACCACAGCAACTATTGTAAAATTTCCACATAAGTATTATATAGCAATTAATAGGTCTTGATATGATGTATAGTTAATTGATCAACGAGTAATAGCTCATTTGCCGGCGAGATTTCGAGGAGCTGCTAGGAAATGGGACAGTATGCAAAGTCGTTCTCTTCTCGTGGATGATACCTGCTGTGATAAGATAAACGAAAAGTCAAATACATAAATGAAACGTACTTATCATACTATAATAGTCCTCAATATTGTCTTTTTCATAAAGAAAGAGAATCTTATGTAGTTAAATAATTAAAAAATTTTTTTTATAGTCAACCAGGGACAAACAGAAATATCAGAGAATACATATAAGGAAATTAATCAATGAAAATAAATATCTTTTATGACAAATTGCTTTTATTGTATATAGAACCTAAACCTTACATTGCATATGGAGTGCCTTTAGAAAAAAAAATAAACTTTGATCAGCCAGTTAAAAGTAACAAGTTGTTCAACTCATTTACGAGTATGTCTTTTCACATGATTCTTCATAAATTACATAATTCTAGTTAGGGAATACGCGATTCAGCAAATATATTATAATATTATATATATTTATACATATATACATATATATAATCATTATTTTTACAATGCATATATATATATATATATATATAATATGCAAGCTATATAAATATATACATGATACATTAAGATGCAAAGGCACGTAAAAAATTATAAATAAAATTCTCTGGATTTGCGAGTTGTAGATTATTTAAAACAGGCTTGACTTTAGATGAGTCATGACTCATGATAAAAATATTCTACTTATAATCTTATATATTCTACAATATATGAAAATCATTTGAAAAATCAGGATTAAAATAGTAATTTTAAATTGGCAAACACATTTGCATTATTAAAGCCGATCGATACATCATCCTGGATTTTATTCTGTTGACAAACACACTGTATACCATATGACGTACAATCGTGTGCTAGTCTATCTAATCTGAAGATTGATAATACAGATATCGTATCGACTAGATCTGTTTCTCGCGAGGAATGAATTGAGAGGGATATGAAGATCGATGCTATTGAACAAGCAATGACGCAAAAGATAACACAAAAGTATCGATCGCAAACATAGGTTGAAAATATTGAACGAACGAATAATGCACGTTGCTAAGATTCCATATACTCGGTGGCCTAATTTTATTTTTTGTTATTCATCTATTTTGCCGTCTTTCAATGTTGTTTTTTTATAGCTTGCACACATGTAAAATATTGGATAGAATATTAAATTTCAGTGTAAAATGTCCCAAAATATGTACAATAAATAATAGATATAAATAATAGATATGCAAAATACTAGGTTTATTATTATCTGTAATCACGCGACATACGTCTCTCCATATACATCGTACGTATAGTCGAGCTGTATTTTAAATATCTCCCTATTCTTAAATTCATTATTATTATCTGTAATTGTAATCAGCAAATAGATTCACGTTTTAGCGAGTGTGTGTAATTTTCAATAAATGGATATTCTTATCTGATAATTTCCCAGAAATTACCGAGTCAAGGAATATAAGCGAAAATGTTCAGTGCGATGTAAACATCTTGTATATATAGTGTCCCATTTTAAATGACGACCTCAAGTATCTCTTGAACAATGAATTTTAGAGAAAAATGTTTCGGACAAAAGTTGTAGGGTTCAAAGGGGGTCAACAGATGATCTTATTAGATTTTGGATCGGGGATCCGTGTTGGGCCCAGTAGAGCCCAAGTCAATTTTTTAAAATGAAACCCTCTATTTTTCATTGCATATTCTTGTAGCTTATCTCGAGAGCTTTTCAAAACACTATAATAAAGTATTTTTTCATTAAGTATTTTTCGAATTATTTTATATCTTAATCTGACATATCTTCATATAAAAATAAAATATTTAATTTTCGGTAATCTTACCGTAATACTTTTATGTACAGAATAATGAGACAAATCAATT